CTATTTATCTTCGAGTGCTGATTTTGTATCCATCTATGTTATTGAATGTTTATTAAATTTAGAAGTCTTCTGGTGGAGCTGTTGGGGTCTTTTATGTAGAGAATCATGTCATCCACAAGTAACGGTAATTTATCCTTTTTTGTCCTTATTCCTTTCATTTCTTTCTGTTCTACTTGCTCTTGTTAATTTCGCAGAATTATGTTGAGTGGACATCCTTGTCTTGTTCCTGATTGTAGAGTGAAAGCTTTCAGTATTTTTTTTTTTTTCCACTTAGTATGACGTTGGCTATTGGTTTGTCATAGATAGTTTTTATTAAATTGAGCTAACGACCATCTATTCCAGTTTTCTGTAGGGTATTTGTCATTGATGGGTGCTCGATTTTGTCAAATGCTTTTCGCGCATCTATTGGGATGATCATGTGTTTTTGTCCTTGCCTCTGTTAATATGGCATATTATACTTTTGATTTGCATGTGTTGAACCATCTCTGCATCCCTTGGATAAATTCTAAAGGCAGAAAATAAACGCTCTGCAGAACAAGTGTGGGGCAGTTACAAATCGGAAAAGAACTACACATGGTGCGTTCTGGCCACGGGGAAGAGTGAGCACCCAGTGGCCAAGAGCCCAGGCAGATACCCTTTTGCCTCGCCAGAGCCTCAGGCTGACATCACATCCAGGTTGTCTTACCAAAAACTGCTTTACCCCCCCACCCCCCCAAAGGGCTGAGGCCAGTCCTTGCTCGTTGCACTAGGTGGTGTGGAACTGCTCTTTTCAGGTCCTGGTCTCCAGGATTGGCGGGTCATGCCTACTTGCAGCCCACTCTCCTTACCCTAGTCATCTGCCTGCAGCCTACCCTTGCGCTTGCCAGGGAGGTGCTTATTCTACTGAGCTATCCCCCCAGTTTCCTGGTTTGGCTTTCTGGCACAAGCCTGTAACGTTGGTGCTCTGAGAGCCCAAGGCAGGAAGATCACAAGTTATAGGCCGGCCTGGGCAATTTAGTGATACCCTGTTTTAAAATTTTTTAAAAAAGGGCTGGGGTTGTAGCTCAGTGCCAAAGCCCCGGGCTCAATCCCTGGTGCTGTAGGAAAATTTCATCATCAGGAGCCGGGTGGTAAGTGGTGACAACTCACCACCCTTGAACAGCTGTCACTTCTACCCCTGCTCAATGTCACATTTTGGGTTTCTGTCTGCATTCTAGTACATCAACTTTGGCGGTGACTCAGTGGTTGAAGATAATGCTCTTCCGTTTGGGCTGCATGATTGTTTGGGGTTTAATACGAGGGATCAATACCATCAGCTCCCCCTTTAAATGCTAATGAACGCTTTAACACCACAGATGCAGACATACAGTACGCTGCAGATTAAAATTAGGCACAAAATTAAATTGCTTACACATAGCAAAGGAGCCAGTTTGGACATCTTGATAATCAGCCACAGCCAGCTGACAAGTCTTGAATTGTCCCTGGGCAGACACACACAAAGCCTTACCAGCCTCAGCCAGCCAGACGTCACCCTGTCACCCTCGGCTAATGAGGGGCCGGAGGCCAGGCAGGACAAGGCCAATCGCCAGGTTGGGCTGAGTAGGTTTAGAACAGTCACAGCACGACAAGGAGCACCAGGATTAGTAACAATCCTGCTTCATTATGAAGATAGAAAGCCTTAGAGCCAGATTCTGTAAATGTCCCAAAGGGTGATGTCTGTATTTGAATTTCTTGAACTTACAGAAAAAATTCCTATTCTTTTTTATTCCTGTGACAAGTGTTTACTGAGAGTCTGCAATCATAATGCCAAGTACAGAAATTCAAAATGGGAAATGAGCACAGCTTGCTGTGACACAGGAGCAGCTTCTTGGAAAAAGTGGGCTGTCCTCTCCTTGGGGGCCTTAGCTACCCACAGTCTGCTTTTAACAATATACCCCCAAACTTAATCAAGGGGGAGAGTTGTGCTCAGGGGTCAACTCACATAGGCAAAGCTCGCAGGCGACCAAAGTATAAAATCAGATCGACAGTTGTTTTAGCATTAACTATAATTCTTAGGGGACTGAAGACTCCTATTGGTTACTTAATGAGTATGGAATTAGAACAAGAATGAAGAGGATTCAGTGGGTCTGTTAGCCAGGTTCATAATCAGTTAATCCATTCACATAGCAAACAGACTGAGTACTGACTACATTTTAGTGATACCCTGGACACTCGGAACAGGCCTGACTCGGGGCTGAGAATCAGGGAAGCTTCCCTGGAGGTAGCAGTTTCTCGGCTTGATTTGAGGGGTGACTTAGCCAGATAACAAGTGGAAGCTGGCTGACACAGCTGGAAGAGTGAGGCAGTGGGGTGTGGGACAGTGTGACAATTTGATTGCTTGGCTGCAGGGTGATGATGGTGCAGAAAAGGATCACAGGATGGAGGGTCCACCGGACCTGAGAAATACAGGCCTGTGTGGCAGCTGGCAGTGACGTCACCTCCTGCCCCATGCTTTTTTCTTTTCTCCCCCTCAGTACTAGAAATTGAGTCCAGAGCCTGACTTTACCTACACAAGGTCTCACTAAATGCCTTGAACTTGTACTCCTGCTCCAGCCTTCCATGTAGCTGGGATTGTAGGTGGTGCCACAATGCCTGTCCCCACCACCACCACCACCCCACCCTCGTATTTCCTTTCTTTTTTTTGTTTTCTTTCTTTCTTTTTCTTTCTTTCTTCTTTCTTTCTTTCTTTCTTTCTTTCTTTCTTTCTTTCTTTCTTTCTTTCTCTTTCTTTCCTCTTTCTTTCTTTCTTTCTTTCTTTCTTTCTTTCTTTCTTTCTTTCTTTCTTTCTTTCTTTCTTCTTTTTTTTCTTTTTTTGGCACCAGGGATGGAACTGAAGACCTTGTGCTTGCCAAGCAGGTGCTTATGCCACTGAGCTCTCTCCCTGGCCCTTATTTCTAAAGCAGTTCTTGACTTTAAAACTCCAGCCCCACACTCTTTGGGATGAGCTACTGACTCAGAGATTTTGTTGGAAGAGAAGATCATCCCCATCCTTCTGGGCTTGGCTAGAAGGAGGCCTGAGCTTGCAGCCCACGTCCTGGCTCTAAAGCTGTTCCGTGCCACCAATCTCCACATCGGAAGGGGCCCAGGCCAGGAAAGATGTCCTTTTGATTTTCTATTAATAATTTTTTTTCCTTCTAAAGCTTTTCTTTCTCTTAACCTCAGCCTCTTGCAACCAATAAAGTTCCTGGGTATCAGGAACATTTATTTTCTTTTTTGGTGTCAGGGTTTGAAGCCAGGATCTGGCGTACCCCAAGCACCTGCTCTCCTTCCCCCTGAGATCCATCCCCTGTCCCTGCTTTTTAAGTTTTTAGGTAACCGATTATTTTGATGGAAAAAAATTCTTCATTCCTGTTCTGCTCTTGCCATACATTCATCTTTCAACCTGGCAGCCACTTTTGGAGAATAAGCATCATTAAGGAAAAAAGAAAGAACATCCAACTCTTATTACTTCTTCACAATCAAGAAGCAGACTGCAGATGTTCTTGTTTTGATTTTGACTGGGAACACTGATGCTGACAAGTATTTTTTCCATGAGATAGTACAGAGTGGTCAGTTTTGTGGATGTCAGAAAGACTTTTGTGGTCACCTACTACACCTATTTATAGGGCTGAGGTCATGGGAGTCACTTTACTATCCGCCAAGTTTCTCTAACCTTTGGTCCAAGAAAGCAAGATGCACAAACACAGCATGAAACAAACTACCATTTGCACGGCACCATTTTAAACAGTCATCTCCCAGAATGCATTGTGTTAAATAATTAAAGCCATCCTTGTGCGCTTTGCTAAATAACTGAGTCAAGTTGTTCAGTTACTTATCATTCTTTTAAAACAAGAAAACTATTGTTTATTTGGAAACAGCATGATATTAAGATAGCATACTTTGTATAGGTTGGCTTTTCCCCCAAATTTAAATGTGAATGAAGGACAAAGGGGAAAAATAACTGAAAACAGACTGTGGTTGATATAATTAAGCATTATGAGGTAGGACCTCAGTGGAGAAGGCTTAGAGAGTCTGGCTAACCTGTAATGATCTCATCATTCCCAACCTTTACTTGTAAGTGCGATGGCAAAGACTACTAGCGGGATGCACTGGTGCACACCTGTAATGCCAGCTACTCAGGAGAGGCTGAGACAGGATGGGTGCCAATTGGACATCAGCCTGGGCAATTTAATGAGACTCTGACACTGAGAAAAACAAGAGCCTGGGACTGTAGTTCAGTGAAAGGCCTTGGTTCAATGTCCAGTAGTGTAAAACAACAACGAAAAACAAAGGCTTATAGGAATCAAGTTGTTGAATCAATGTTTAGGTCATAAGAACTTCCTCTCCTAGGGGCTGGGGAGATGGCTTAGTGGAATAAGTGCTTCTCTGGCAAGTGCAAGGACCTGAGTTCAATTCACAAGGACCTGAGTTCAATTCCCAGTTCCACAAACAAAAAAAACACAGAGCATGGAAAAGCCTAGCCAAGGGGAAGGCCACTTGATAATTGTTGGTGAACACTGAATGGAATCTCCCAATATCGAAAGTAACATTTTTCACTTGGTGTATGTTTATTGCTGCTTAATTTTTTGAGGTGTACAATATGAAGAATCTCCCACACTGGATTCTACCCTTGCTGTCCTAAATAGCAAGCCATCTCTTCTACCCCCAGCTGCTTCAAGCTGTCTCACTGCGAGGCTGGTATTTACTGTCTTGTTCTAAGGAGGATGTTAGTAATTTTAAATTTGTCTGGCTTTTAGCTTGTGATGTTATTATCCTGCACTCTGTTTTCGTTTTAGATTTCAGATTTCTGACATCTTAAGAGGCCTTTATAAAGCCTTCGCTCCCTTGGGGAAATGTGGAAAATAATACTCAAAAGGGGTCCTGAAAGATTAGGTTTGAGGTTTCTCATGACTCTTAGCAAATGAGACATACACCAAAATGAATATTAAGTTCAATAACCTTTTTAATTACCTAAAGATGACAAGGCAAACCAGTTCAATTAAGACCATGACAGAAACACAGTATCTCACTAAAATAAATACTAAGCAGCAGAGCTGCGATGAGGGAGGTTCAGTTGTTTTGGGCGTAAAATTTGGGGAGGCAGTTAAAAAAACCCTCAGTAGTTAAGATATATGATATTTTGAAGTAGTATTTTAGAAAATAAAATCAATGCCAAAATCCATGAACAAAGTATCAAAATTTTAAATAAAAACAGGATTGGCAATAGTGGAGGTTGAGGCACAAAACGTCGAGAATACCCGTTCTGTCTTTATTAGGGTTTTGTGTGGACCTCACTGGCCTTAGTCCCAGCCGTGCGGACCTGAGGGTCAGTGCTTAGGGCCGAAGATGGGACAGCACCGCTCCACCAGGAGGAAAATACTTCCGAGAGGGCTACCCTTGCTCGGGAGGCAGTCATCCTTTCGGCTGTGGTTTGGCTGCGATCCCTGGGGGATGGCACCGCCCAGCTCCAAGCACAGAAGCACCGTCTTCCCGTGGACTGAATCCGAAGATGACCTCTGAGCGCAGCGGTCGGGTGCGCGGGTGCGCAGTGAGTGACCCTAACCCAGCCCCAGCCCGTGCTCAGAAAGTCCTGCGGCCCCGGAGGCCGCCCCGCGCCCGCTCCCTGCCGCCCCTGGCCGGCGAGGGCCTGTGCGGCCTCCTCCTGGGCTCCACCTTGGTCCAGCCGCCCTCGCCAGCTCTGCTCTCTTCCTCGCTTGCTCGCGGCGTGGGCGCTGGCTGCACGGGCATCCCCGGGATAGGCCTGGGGAGGCGGCGGTTGTGCGGGCTCCTCCCGGCGTCGGGGCCCTGTGCAGAGCCAGAGCCAGGGGACTCCCGGGGGCCCTTGCCCGCGCCGCGATCCCTGGGCTGCCTGTTCGGGCCCCCGAAACGGCCCCGCGGCGAGGAGTGCAGCGACCCGCCCGCGCGGTCGAACTTGTTCCGGCTCCGGTCTGAGTAGCGCCCCCTCTCGGACGAGCTGTCAGTGTTGAGACTGGAGAAGCCGCTGTCCCTGGAGTTGAGTAGCAGGCCAGTGAAGCTCTTGGTGAGCCCGTACTGCGTGGGCGAAGAGCTCCGCGATGGGTGGATAGGTGTGATCTGCTGGTACCGGACGGGCCTCTGGGTCCGCCGCACCGCGGCCGCGTACGAGTCCTGGTCATTAAAGTACGGGAAGAAAGACGAGCCCAGGATGGGGTTGCTCTGCGAGCGGTGCAGCGACGCGCTGGAGGCCACCTGCCGCATCCGCAGTGTGTCCAGCCACTGGCAGTCGGCACCTGCGGGACAGACAGCCTAAGACAACTGAGTGGTGAAGGACCTGGCATGCTCAAGGCTGCTCAGTCAATAACCCCAGGCCCTGCTGTCTCTAAAGGCCATTTTCTTCCCACCGAGTTGTTCTGCAACGTCTAGAAATTGCTGTTTAAGCGCGATTGGGTGGCAGGCATGTGTGTGTTTCAGAAACCAAGGATTTTGTTTCCCTTTTGACAGCCAACACTCTTAACCCTCAAGGGCCCTAAATCCAGATAAAACAAAGGAAATTCTGCAGGCTGAGCCAGCTGGAGATTGTGTGGAGGGAGATGACGGTGCTCCTTTCGGGTCTCCTTGCCAGCAAGGGAGCTGACCTTCCCACTCAGAGCTGGGCTCAGCTCGCTGGCTTGGGGTGCACTCCACCTTTGTCTTTGCCCCTGTCTGGTGCAGATGAAGTTTTGGGGTGGGGGCAGCAGAGCATGCGCTTCGCCCTCACCCTCCCAGCAAGTGACCTCCTTCCCTGTTCCGCACAGGTGGCTCCAACGCTAGGTGCGGGACTTGTCCAGGCCTGGGGCACCTCCTGTGTCCTCAGGGCTCCCATCAGCCCAGTCCCTTCTTCTGTCACTGTGTCTGTGTGTGTGTGTGTTGTCAGTGCACAAAGTCAGGAGTACTCCATGTACCCGCTAAACTCCTCCACCCCTCCGCCCTCCACGTCTGTGATTTAGATTACAGAAACATGACGCGAGCAGAATCTTAAAGTATCTCAATGCCCTCTCTTTTCACCTTAATTTCGCTGACATTTTAGCTTCCAAATGAGCCCTGTGTGGTGCTCAGCCCAGGCTCCATCGTGTGTGTTGGGGAAGCCGGCCACCTCGGGGCTCCCGGCGCACTTGATCAGGCTGAGCCAGACAGCTGGTGCCAGGCAGGGGCAGGTTCTGATTCTGCCCAGCAGAGTTGGCAAGGGGAGTCTGCTGAGGCTTCTAAGGTGTCCTCACTCCTGGATATGGCAACAGGGAGGCCCTGAGCCCTTCTGCCTGCCGGCTGCGGTCCCATCATTGTGGCTGTGGGCTGAGAGTAACAGGGTGGGTGTGTGTGTGTGTGTGTGTGTGTGTGTGTGTGTGTGTGTGTGGTGCAACATAGCCTGCAGGGCGAGTGGGAAGAAGTGAAGAGGCATCCCTGACCCTAGTGGGGCCCTCACTGGGTTTTCTCAGCGCAGCTGGAGCCACTTCTTGTTAGGGAAGACAATACATATTATTGTCACTTGACTCTGGTTGAAGGGCTTTATAATACCTCCAAATTATCCGGAGGGCTTGCTAGAATGAGGATTACTGTTCTACCTCTAGAATTTATGATTCTTTAGGCCTGGGGCTGGGCCTTGGAGTCTGGATTCCAAACAAGTGCACACGGTAGCCAGGCGCCATTGGTCCCAGGACCACCCAGGTTGTAAGAACTACTGGCAAGAGCTGAAAAGGGGTTTTCTGCTACCTGCCACTGAAAATAACTGCTCTGGGTGGCATCTTCTGAGTCTTCACATCACACTGTGAAAAGGGGTAAAATGGAGTATGCGAGCTGGGCATGGTGATGGCCTCTCCGCATCCCAGAACTCGGCAAGGCTGAGCAGGAGTGCAAATTGGAGCCCCACCTGGCCGGGTAACTTGGAAACTGTCACAGCTTGTGTCCGGAGGTCCCCCAAGCCTCACACAGTACAGGTGGTGATTTTTCAGAGGTGGCTGATGTGTGATGCTGCAATTGATGCTAGAATTGTGCAATGTTAGTCAAGGGCACTAGGATTAAAGGTGTGAATGCTTCCACAGACTACTTCTAGTACTTCTAGACTACTTCTAAGTAGTCTGGACAAGGTATAAGGGAAAGAGCGAGCTGCGGTTATCTCTTACTTTCTTTGCTATCTTCTACCTGCTATGAACTCTTCTTCAAGATCCCTTTCTGCCACCCACTCTGCCTTGGAGCCAGACAATTATGGACTGAAACCTCCACAAACTGAAAGCTACATAAACCTTTCTTCCTTTAACTTTGGGTGCTGGGTATTTAGTCCCAGCAATCAGAAAAGTAGCTGTAACAGGAACTTAGCAAGACTCTCTCTCAAAATAATAAACAAACAAACAGGCCTTAGGATGTAGTTCAGTGTAAAGGCCCTGGGCTTGAGCCCTGGTACTAAATAAATAAATAAACAACTACAATGAAGGTGAAAGGAAGGCAGACTAGATAAAACTGAAGTCAAAGACAGACTAATTCTGCAACCTTTCTCGTTGGTAGTCAGAGTGAAAAAGTTTGTCTAGACCAGTTCCAACAGGAAATAGGAGATAGAGTATGCCCGTGTACACGCTTACAGAAAGCAACATTTACTGTCTCCTAAAATATTTTTTTATTTTTAAAATTTACTGTGCTATCCTTTCTTTTTTTCTTCATAATACTGAGCATTGATCTCAGGGCCTCATGTGTACTAGCCCTGTGCTCCACCGCTGAGTTGCGTACCTGCCTTCCTTGCTGGACACAGGGTCTCACTGAGTGGTCCAGACTATCCTTGAACTTAGTTTTTAAAATTTAATTAAGTGTATTGATATAATTTTGGTATTCATAATGGTCACATTCATTAAAGGGAATCTGTATGATACACAAATATATATATGACATACATGATATATCTTTATTTTTCTTTTTTTCCCTTTCCCCTGCCCTCCTTTCAATCTCTCTTCCCCTCATTTAAAAAACTTTGTCTGCATTTTACTCTTCTATTTTTCTTTTCTTTTCCTTCCTTTCCCTCTCCCCCTTCTTAGTTCCCTTTTTCTTTTGAATCATTTCTTCCTATTTCACAAAATCTATTGTACATAAAATACTTGTTTTTGAAGAGTAGCCAAGAATACCTATTGCCATTTATGACATTCAGTGGTAAATGCCATAGAGTCCCGTGTCATGCCACATTCAGAGTTCCACCTTGACTCCATTCACATGGCCACCACTTGTTATACAGGATGTGCTGGCCACCTACCACCTTCTCATCCTATGCATACAGCTAATTGGTCCATGAGTGAATGCTTGGGAAAAAATAGCATCATAAGCTTTATGCCAAAGAATCTGAAATTGTTACTGATAAAGTATCTGTTTGGTGACTCTCATATGTGAGATTGGAGTTATATAAAGCTTTGAAGCTTTTGGCAGTCATTTTGTAGCATATTAGTAGGGAAGCAGAAAACAAGCTTTTAATGGAAAGAAAATACAGCAGAAATGCAGAAAGAAGGACTCCCCCTGGCCCAGGTTTCACAGGGCTGTTGTAGGGATCAAAGAAGATCAAGGTTATGAAAGCCCTATAGAAGTAAAATGTGCCCTACAAACACTAGTGGTTCCAGAAAGAAGTCCTTAGAAGTACAATAGGCATGCAAAGCAAGACTGTTGTATGAACAAATATAAAAGAACTCAGAGACAGCTTCTGAGAGGACAGCTAGTGGGAATCAACACCTATTGTGTGTAACAGACATTTGTACGAACAGCATGCCCTAAAAGATATTTGGTGACAAGATTACAGCAAGGAAGGCCGGATAAAAACTCAGTCATGCCCAGTCCTGGTAGGCAGGGTGTCCCTGATGATTATTTGTAAAAAGAATATAAGCAAATCAACTGTCCTGACAAAGGTGGTCAGGCCTGCCATGCTGGCAAATCATTTGCTGGTGGGTTTTGAGTACTGTCCGGCATTTGGGGCACCAGGCTAGGGGCATTTGGCAGGTCAGACTTTACAGCAGAAGACACGGGTGAGCCCTCATGGGTAGCAGGTTACAGCCCCTGGCTCTGTGCTCATGTTCACCAGATCACCTTCTGATATGGCTTCACAGGTATACTTTCCTCTTGGGGGAAAAACGCACCAATCAGGAAACAGGCATTCACTGTTTGGCAGGTCTATTTCTCAGGGTAAAGAGGAAACTGCGTGGGGGGTTGAACACATGTTTCTAGTGCTAGCTTTTCTGTTAGCTTGTGCCAGTCCCAAAGAGGTATTTGGATTTCTGGACCTACAGAGCTGAGGGTCAGAACCTTTTCTTTTAACCCAACAAATAATGACCAAGTTGACCCCAATCAGCTGATCCTCCTTTTTTTTTTGGTGGAACCAGGGTTTTGAACTCAGGCCCTTGTGCTTGCCAGGCAAGCGCTTATTCTACCGAGCCATTTCTCTGGCCCCGATCCTCTTTAGTGTTAGTCTAAATTGTTCCTATCATCTATAATTTTACCATGAGCCAACATATGCATTTCAAGTTTTCCATGTCTTTTTCTTCCTCTTTTTTTCTTACCATACTTTTTTTTTTGTCTTTTCGAGACAGAGTTCCCTATCCTGCTTTTGTCCTTCCATCCTTCTCTTTCTCTCCCTCCCCCCTCCTCCCTTTCTTTTCCTTCCCGCCCCTTCCCATACTTTGATGTATCAGTGGTGTTCAGGATGCAAGCTGTTTCCCGGTTACAGCAGCGATTTTTGCACAAATGTTTACCACACATTGAATATTCCTATCTCTATCTGTGCACGTACTTCTGAACACTAAATATGCAAACATTTTTATTACCAATACAATATAATCCTAACGTTCATCTTCCTTCCTGGCTATCCTGAAATGTATTCTAGTAGACCCATGTTTATGACTATAAATACTACTTACCACATAATCTTATCTGGCTTCAAACTGAGCTACATCCTCTGTCCCTTTACTTTTTTTCTTTTTTTCTTTTTGCGGTACCAGGGATTGAACTCAGGACCCTGTGCTTGCCAGGCAAGCGCTTATTCTACTGAGCTATCTCCCTGACCCTCTTACCACATAATCGATGTACAAGAACCTCTATTACAAAAGTAGAAGCAGGAAGTACTATCGTAGGAATGTGTGTCTAGCTACAAACAGGCCCTTCCCTCTGCTATGAGAAAGTCATAACTTTTTGGGCATTCCGTACACATAACACTTACTTGAGTTGGACCTGCTGTGAGCATTGCCCTCGGAATTGATCGATGTCTGAATGGAGAGTTGGACGGCTTTCACTTCATCTTGTGGCTTTGTTCTACTCCAGTGAATTGAGTGGATATGTTTAGTGATCTTTGGAGTTCTAACATCACTCTGTCACAAAGGAAAAGGAAGCCATGATTAAGCACATACACAGTTCATTTATAAAATAAGAAGGAAAGAAACTAACATTCCTGTGTCATTTCAATGTCGCTACTTAGAACACTATGGTATGTGTGTGTCTGTTTCTCTGTGTCTGTGTCGGACTCTGACTGTCTGTCTCTCATGCTGGGGATGAGACTGATTATTAATGCTGAATAATTTATTTAGCATTATTCACCCAGCAGGTGTCACGAAGTCACTTAGAGTATATGTCCTGAGCTGGGTATATCTCTGTGGGACAGGCTCACCCAGCACATGCAGGGTACTGTTGTATCTCCCACTGCATCTCCAAAAAAAGACTCTCAAGGATTCAACAGTTATGAGAATGTTTTTTAAAACCGATGCTTTGGCAAGTGCAGTGACCAGGGTTGGATCCTGGGTCCCTCATGCCACTCCAGCCCCATCCTTGGGGAATGCTGAGACAGTGACTGAGTCTGGGCATGGTGGCACATGCCTGTCATTCCAGCACTCGAGAGGCTGAAAACAAGAGGATCACTAAGACTCCGAGCTGTGTAGTGAGACCCTGTACCAAATATATAAGTGAAAACAAAACAAAACAAAACAAAACCCACAAGTAAAAAAAAGACATAGGTAGTTACTGTTATGGAGTCTAAGATGGAGAAGGAGGGAATGGAAGGGAATGAACAAGGAAAAGAAGCAGCAGAGAGGGTGCAGCAAATCTGAGACCAAAAGGCTGGCGGAGGTGACCTCTCGCTAAGGGGTGATGAAGAAGAGGGCTTCCCTGGGTAGCTTCAGGATGGTCTAGAACAGCTCACCAGATGCTCCAGGCAATTAACCTCTTCTATTTGGGTTTTGTGCCCTGCAAGCCTCACTGATAACTACCGCTGCTTCCCCTGAGCCGCATCTAGTGAGCCACCTGAAGGGCATTTCAGATGAGGACAGAAATGACAGTTTATATCTAGATGTCCCCCAAAGCTTCACACGATCACAGTGGGCCTTGGGGAGGGGACTGGATCGTGGAGGTTGATGCTCACTATTGGATTAGTGCACTGAGTTTAGAGCTAGCTGTGACTTGGTGGTGAAGCCTGGGGGAGGTGGAGGCACGGGGGGCGTGGCCTGGAAGGACCTACCTCCCGTCCTCCCCCTCTGATCCCTCTCCACTCCCTGATGGCCCCCATGAGCTGCTCTCTGCCAGGCCCTGTCTTGGGGGAAAAAAAAAACCAAAAAACAAAAAACCTATGGCCTAAAACCTCCACAAACTGTGAGCCAAAGTAAACCTTCCCTCCTTTAATTTGCAGGTGTTGCGAATTGTATCTGAGCAACAAGAGCAGTAACTAAGGGCACAGATCACTCACTATCTAAACACTGTTCTCCAGGCTGCAGAGCCAGCTGGCCAGGATGTGGGCTCTGACACCGAGGAGCCAAACACCGGCAGTGGGGACGATCCTCCCACTGCAGCAGTTCACAAAGCGCAATTCAAAGCGGGCCTTTTACTTTGAGCCAAGGTCTGGCTATATATTTCAGGCTGGGCTTGAACTCACCCTGTAGCCAGGTTGGCCTGGAACTCTCAGCACTTTTCCTGCGTCAGCCTCCCGAGCGTTGGGAGTAAAGGCGTCTGCACTCCTGGCTTGGAAGTGCAGGCGTGGCAGTGGAAGATGCACGCTGGCGTCTCACGGAGCCCTAGGCTCTGCTCTAACTTGCCCTTCCAGCCGCGCCACACTGGATGCTTTTACTTTATAAGGTTAATGTTCCACCAGCCACAAAGATCTTGGTGTTAAATATACTGATGGAAGCACAGATCATTAAAATATATATTCAGAGAAATTATTCTCCATAAATGTGAAAAATGTTATGCTACAGAACATATAACATGGTGACATCTATTATCTTAACAATTTTTAGCGTAAAGCTTTGGTAACCATATGCCTGTCATTATGCAGATCTTGATGATTTTTAAAACATAATTTCATTCTTTCTATCTGCAATTTTAAAAGGCCCATTGGGGATGGGGACATAGCTCGGTGTTCTAAGTGCCTGCATGCCAAGCACAAGGATCCTTCAATCCCTGGTACTGGTGCATAGGGGACCCTGTACCAAATAAATAATTTTTTTTTTTAAAGCTCCATTGACTTCCCATTGTGCTTACAGCAGATCCAAAACCTGCACTGGGGCTCGTGGCCAGCTTTGTTATTGTACCTACCTACAAGTGCCTGGGGACTTGTACTTGCTATTCCCCTGCTGACTCCTCTTCAGAGAACTCCTCCCTGAGCACCCACTCTGATACCCCAAGTTATTTCCCATTGACCACCTCTTGCTCTCTGACATAAGTTGCTTATTTGTTATTCATTCTCCCGTCGGCCCCACTGTACTATAGTCCTGCTAGGCTGTGCTGTCATATCACAGAACAGCCTTCAGGTCCTCTTAAAGGTACAAGATCTAATTTTAATAGCACTTTTTATTTTCTTTCCAGTATCAGGGATTGAACTCAGGACCTTGCGCTTGCCAGGCAAGTGTTTATTCTACTAATTATCTCTCTAGCCCAATAGCACTTTTTTTTTTTTTTTTTGGCAGAACCGCGGATTGAATTCAGGCCCTTGTGCTTGCCAGAGAAGCGCTTATTCCACTGAGCCATCTCCCCGGTCCCCCAATAGCACATTTTTAAAAAAGAGAATAAAAAACAATTTAAAAAATTAGAAACAATACAGGATTTCACCAAACAAACTGATAGGAATTCAACAATGATTGTTATATTGCAGGGTTGTCTTCAAATCAGTTGTTCAGATTATCAGATTAACAGCATATTTTTCAAAACAGTAAATTCTTTTTCTGTATATCAAAGTATATGCAACCTGTTTGTTTGTTTTTCATTTACGTATTTTGTACAGGGTCTCACTATGCAGCTTGGACTTGCAGTGATCCTCCTGTTTTCAGCCTCCCCAGCGCTGGAATGACAGGCTTGCGCCACCACACCCGGACTCGGTCGCCAGCTCAGCCTGGGGACCAACACAGCATGTAGGGATGTGCATTTTTTTTCTTCTTTTTTTTTTTTTTTTTATGTTTTTGGTACAGGGTCTTCAGGGTCTGCAGGTTCTACATAGTCTTACCATGTAGATCAGCTTTGCAGTGATTCTCCTGTTTTTAGCTGGGATTATAGGTGTGCACTACCATGCCCAGGCTCAGTTGCCATCTCAGCACGCCCTGGGGGCTGTAGGGGATTGAACCCCAGCCACTGCACGCTGCCTAAGCAGGTACTTTAGTCCATTGAGCTATCTGGCCGGCCTTGTTTTTTTTTGTTTTTGTTTTTGTTTTTTGTATTTTAGGGAAGGGTCTACAGGGTGTTCAGAGTCTCACTACTAGATCGGACTCATAGTGATCCTCCTGCTTACAGTCTCCCAAGAGCTGGGATTACAGGTGTGTGCCACCACGAACCAGTCTCAATTGTCATCTCAGCACGTCCCAAGGGCAGGGTCAGCACAGCAGGCTCAAGGATTAAACCCCTGGCCCCTGTGCCTGCTTGCAGGAGCTTTAATCCGTTAAGCTATTTGGCTGGCCCTTGCTCATTTGTTTTGTTTTGTTTTTTTTTTTTTTAATTTTTATTTATTTATTTATGTGTGTGTGTATGTGGCCAGCTCAGCCCACCAGGGGGTGGGGCTGGCTGGCATGTGGTGCTGGGGGATTGAACCGCGGTCCCTGTGCTTTGCTAAGCTTGTTCTAAGTAGGTGCTTTAGACCACTAAGCCATCTCACCAGCCCCTCATTTGTTTTTGATAATACACTTTCTCCCTATCTGTTCTGGCCTTTTGAAGATTCATCTATCTTTTCTCACCCCTAAACTCTTTACTTGAAAGGTAAAAGTCTTAGTCACTTTTTGGTATTCTTAGTACCTAAACATATTTCATGATATGCAGCATTATCCAGTTAAGAATAAATGCTCTTTCCAGGCATCCTCATGAGAATGACATTGTCTTTAAGCCCTCCGTGGCAATCCCTGACACATTGCCGGGATGCCCAGGGAGGACAGGGTGACCTGGAAATCTAACTACTTCCTAAAGATCATCCAACTTTTGGATGATTATCCAAAATGCTTCATTGTGGGAGCAGACAATGTGGGCTCCAAGCAGATGCAGCAGATCCGAAAGTCCCTCCAAGGGAAGGCCGTGGTGCTGAAGGGCAAGAATACCATGATGCACAAGGCCATCCGAGGACATCTGGAACACAACCCAGCTCTGGAGAAACTGTTGCTTCATATCCGGGGGAATATGGGCTTTGTGCACACCAAGAAGGACCTCACTGAGATCAGGGATATGCTGCTGGCCAATAAAGTACCTGCTGCTACAGGTGCAGGTGCCATTGCACCATGTGAAGTTATCGTGCCAGCCCAGAACACTGGTCTGGGGCCCGAGAAGACCTCCTTCTTCCAGCCTCTGGGCATCACCACTAAAATCTCCAGGGCACCATTGAAATCCTTAGTGATGTACAGCTGATTAAGACTGGGGGCAAGGTGGGAACCAGCGAGGCAACCCTCGTGAACATGTTGAAAATCTCCCCATTTTCCTTTGGGTTGATCATTCAGCAAGTGTTTGACAGTGGAAGAATCTACAACCCAGAAGTCCTTGACATTACAGAGGAAACTGTATTCCCACTTTTTGGAGGATGCCTGCAATGTTGCCAGTGTCTGTCTGCAGATTGGTTACCCAGCTGTTGCATCAGTGCCCCATTCTATCATCAATGGGTACAAGTGGGTTCTGGCTTTGTCTGTGGAGACTGATTACACCTTCCCACTTGCTGAAAAGGTCAAAGTCTTCTTAGCGGATCCATCTGCATTTGTGGCTGCTGCCCTTGTCACTGCAGCCACCACTGTTACAAATGCTGCTACAGCTGCCCCAGCCAAGGTGGAAACCAAGGAAGAGTCGGAGGAGTCAGACAAGGATATGGGATTTGGTCTCTTAGACTGATCATCAAAAAGCAAACTACTGGGGCTGGTGAGATGGCTCAGTGGTCTAAAGCACCTACTTAGAACAAGCGTAGCAAAGCACAGGGACCGCGGTTCAATCCCCCAGCACCACATGCCAGCCAGCCC